CCACTCAGAAGGAAGTGCTAAGCATCTGTAGCTCCCATGTTAAAATCAGACTGTTTTTATGTAGGTGCCTAATTTTAAACATTTGAATGTGTTTGTGTAAAGCACTGCCCTCCACTGGAGGAAATGTGCCAGGCCATTGTCTGCTGGCCCCCTTATTGCCTGGGTTAGTGGAACTGCTCCTTCAAATTACAAGGCTGGCATCACAACCCGCATTTCGGCTGCTGATATTTTTTTTTAAAGCACAAAAGAAGCAATTCCTACAGCAGATAATGGACATTGTTAGGCACATAACAGGCATCAGGTGTGCTCCTAGAGACAGTGAACAACTTTTAACTGCTGGGCAAAGAAAAATAATTACTAGCAGAAAGTCGACAGCTTGACAGCCGCAGAATGCAGTTGTCAATCAGCAGTGATACCCCTCCCAAGCCCCTGTGAAGCTCAGAGAAAACTTGATGGACAGGTTCTAAACTGAAAGGGGTTTCCAGAGAGCCAGAGTTTTCCTTCCTCAGCTTTGTGCTTTTCTTCGTTATCAGTGTCTAACTCTCTCTGCTACTCTTGGCTTAGTATTTACTTAGTTCAGAAGTCACATGTGTTTACTTTCATGCAATAAAAACAGAGAAGGAAAGAGGGGGAACACACAGGCAAGCACTGTGTTTGGTCAACTATTTCCACTTCTGTTTTTAGAAACAGTAATGTGTGCATTTTCAACAAACTTACTTGGACAGCCAGACAGGATTTTGTTGTGAGGAAAATGACTTGGCATGAAGAAATTACAATGGTTTCCAAAGTAGCAATAATATCTTGCTTGTACCTGGCCCTTTGTTTTTGGAGAAGCGCAGAATACTTGAAGTGACATGCCAAGCTATATACAATCCCAATATTTTGCATTTGCACTGTCTAAGGCACAAACCACCCACCAGCACAGTATATGGGTGGGATTTCCACAAGGCCACACACTGTTGGCCTACCTTCTCCCATTGAAAAACCATTGGAGTTAGGACAAAAGTTGAGCGCTTTAGAAAATCTCACCCTATAAATCCCAACTCTCTGTTGCCTCCTATCAGAGGCCTTCAAGCACATTGCAAACGTTCCCCAGTGCTCTTCCCCAGACCTCGCCCAGTCTAGCCTAGGGATGAGCCTGGGGTAAAGAACAAATATTTGTAGTCTGGAGCAAACTATGGGGGTGTGTGTGCACAACAGCCTTTATAAGACGGTTAAGTATCTCTCCTTAGTTAGCAATAAGTTCAGGGAAAGTAAAAAAGACTGGTGAAGACATACCCTTATGCTAAGAGGAATTTGTCTCTCTTTATCGCCTCCTTCCCCAACTGTTACTGGCTGTTGGCGGGGCGGGGCGGGGCGGTGGGAAGTGTAGGTGCTGCTGTGCCACCTTCCCCCTCCTGATCTCCCAGGGCCTTTGAAACTGCTGCAGTCTGTTCAAGCACCCACCGCTATCCCCCTTGGTCCCACCTCCTGCGGGGATGTATGAGTTGGCTTGGGTAGGCCTTCTACCTGCAACTGGGAAGGGAAAAGAGAGACTCAGGTTGGGGCCCTTACATGTAAAACAACAACATATACGTACATCTATATGAATGAGACCAAGTCTGGTCATTTATCCAGCCTAGGTGAAAGCATGGCACCATTGAAGCCCATTGAAATTTTGCCCTTGATTTCCTCTCTCTATCCAGTTCCTACGTGGCCCCCGTCACTGAGGTATATAAGCACCTTTTCTGAACAGGGGTGCCAGTGAGTTGAATCTTACTTTAATACTAACCAATAACAACACTGGGCAGTGATGTTGACTGTGGCCATAGCGCCTTCATGGAACAGCTCTTCTCAAAAGCTTTGTGGATTTCTCTCACTCTATATCATTCTCTTGGCTTCTCTGTTGATTAGCTCCTCTTTTCCCTCTTCCCCCCTCCCCCTCGTTCCTTGAGTTAATTTGTCTATATACGTGTATCTGGTTAAACTGGTTTGATCAAACATTGCAAATACCAGGTGGCACTTGCCAAATGTCTTGCATATTTCACAAAGATACAGTGTTCTGTTTGCTTATAATGTACATATCTTTGCATTTACCCTACACCTGATGGAAATTAAGCTGACATTACTAGGTACTGGAGTGGGAGGGTGTTCATTTGGTTTGACTTCTGGTCATGGGAGGTACCTGGAGATTTTCTTTAAGCATCTGGGGTGCAGGAAGGGAGGGCCCTGGCAAAGAGCCAACATTGTTTTCTCCACAAACCCTCCCTTATGAAAAATGTCTCTTTACAGCTTCTATCTTATTACCTGTCATACCTGCAAGCTATACTGTTCCCTTACTTTGACCTTGACTTAGGCCCAGATGGAACATCAGAATAACTTTGTGCACAAGTGGTCCCGGAGAACTCAAGGCATGGATGAAGTTAATCATAGGTGTCAAGGTTGGCCAGATCGGTTCCTCAGTTTGTCACAAATGGAAACATTTTTGAAAAGAGCTGTTCAAAAGATTGTGCGTCACCCTTGCTCACCCTGAGTAGTAGCTTACTCTGAGAGGAGACCCATTGGACTTCAGGAGGATTCATCTTGGAGGAAGAGATTACTCAATATGAGTAAGAGAAGCAACAGAATCTGAGCCCTAATTTAAAGCTACTATGAATCCCTTCCTTTGGTTCTTTCATGCCCCACACGGAGCACAACTATAACCCATAATGCAGAAATGGTAACTATAGGAGGTTAGGTTTTATTTCCTGACTCAAAGGTCTGCAGTGAGGGGCTGAGGTCCCACTGCCAAAGGTTTCTGTTTTTCTTTCCCATGAATCAATTTTTCCAGAAAAGTACAAAAACAAAGGTCCATGATGAGAAAGACATTTACATTAATACAGCAATTAATATGACCCCCATTTTGCCATGGACATAAGATTCGTTTTTTCTCCATTTCAGTGGTGTTTGGCAGTTCTGAATACACTGTCGTTGGGTTGGATTTCCATTTTCAGAGTATTACATTGGTACTCGTTCATTGGGAGATTAAATTCAAAACTCTGGAAAGGCTTTTGCATCTATTGCTCTAATATTTTTGTAATTTATGGCAAGGTAAAAATGTGGGACAAGTGAGCTGACAGGTGGCAACATCTCCAAAATTTACTAATTTACTATAGTAATGAAATCTACATACATTTTGACCCTAGTAGCTGACTTGGAAGTACAACTGAAGATAATACTTTCATTCATCACCTCACAGCCTTGTTTTCAGAGTTAGTTAATGTTTGAATGAGTTTTTGAAGGCATAAAATGCTATGGAATTACCAAGATTTATAATTAACTGAAGTTATTCATTAACTCGCAATATTGTTTTGCGCCGCATATAAAATATCTTGCAATGTTAGAGATTAATTGAAGGAATGATACCTATTTTCGTACTTAAGAGAAAAATCAATTATATAGCGTTATTTACCCTTTCCCAAAAACCAAAAAGAATGGGGTCACATGAGGAAATCAATAGGCAGCAGGCTTAATATAAACAAGAGGAAGTACGTTTTCACACACTGCACAATTAATCTGTGGAACTCATTGCCATGGGATATTGTGGTGGCCAAAAGTATAACTGGGTCAAAGAAAGCACTAGATAAGTTCATAGAGGATAGGTCCATCAATAGCTATTAGCCAAAATGGTCAGGGATGCGACCCCGTGCTTGGGGTGACCCTAAACCTCTGACTGCCAGGAGCTGGGAGGGGAAGACAAGAGTCAATCACTCCAATTGCCCTGTTCTGTACACTCCTGTACACTGAAGCTCTGGTGCTGGCCACTGTCAGACACAGGGTACTGAGCTAAATGGACCATTGCTCTGACCCAGCATGGCAGTTCTTATGTTCTTATAGTTGGGGTTAAATTCCATAAACATTAACTAGCTCTTAGACTGTGATTTAGGCCCCCGTCCTATAAACTAATCTGCACAGACAGACTCTTCTGCCTAGACACAGTCCCACTGAAGGAAGGCATCAGGTCTTTGCACAGGCACAGGGGCCCTGCCCAGCAGTATGGATCAGCTTGCAGGATCAGGCTCTTCGCTATTAGCACACCAGCTACAATCTAGCTGCCAATTTGCATTCTGGAAAATACACGATGGAGCAAAACGATTCAACTGATTAGTTGTCCTAAGACAATTGTTATTTATTTCTATTACAGTAGCATCTAAGGCCCTCAAACAGGATTAGGGTCCCATGACAAGAGGCACTCTACAAACAAGGGAGCAGATACATTCTTGGATCAAACTCCAGGATTTTTAGACTATATGTAACAGATGAATAAACAGATAAGTGGGGAGCAAAGGAGGGCGAAGGAGAAGGAAGTAGCAATCGAAAGAGAAAAATCACAGACTCTAAGTACGTGCTTCTGCTCCCCTGACTCAATGCATATACTAGTTAGAAGTACATTTACTGATGACCAAGATATTTAATCCACAGTAGCACCACACAGAAATGACTGGCTATGCATTAGTATTTATTTTTCAGTGCCCCAGCCTTGTGTCTCCTTATTAGAAGAGACAGATAAAAGATGTGGTGAGCTGTGAAATAAAGTCACTAGTTGACTCACACTTTTTGCTGTTGGTTTGTCTCTGAAAAACAGGAGGGAGAATGAAAAGTGTCAATGTTTTTATCATGACCAGAGAAGAGCAGATGAGCAGCGTTATGGATCGTCTGGTGGGTATCACAGTGTTTTGGAGAGATCCCCGAAACATCCCTGAGCAGCAGGGACTAGAGATTGGCCGAGTTTAACAATGGCTCATTGTAGCAGGAAGGAAGGAATGTGACCAAGCCTGGAGCTGCTGCTGGGTGTGGCCAGGTAAGAGCAGCCAGCCTTCTACCTGCTCAGGTGTTTACCCTTAAAGCAGCCGAAAAGGTAGCTCTGCAGACCAACACCTGTTTTAGCTTCAGCTGGGTGGTGACAGGGCACACTGGAAATATGTCTTGCTAAAGGAAACATTGGAGACCTGAGCAGAGCACGGCAGGGGATTTGAGCAAAGATGAAGAAGAATCAGTCTGTGCAGGGGACGTTTAGCAAACTCTTTGGGAAGAAACATGCCAACAACACCAACAACACTTCCCTCTATGCCACAAATCCACCCTGGATCTTCACGCAAGAGGTCACTTCTGAGGGCAGAGGTGGTCCCGGTTAGTATCTTTCTTTATTTGGGCTTTCAGGAGAAAGGCAGTAAAGAAGTTGAATCACCCTTTCAAAGTGGCCTGATTAGCCTCCTGCTTTGAATCCAAGCAGTGACCGGTTAGTTTAGATATGGGGGGAGCAGCAATAGCCTTGTTGGGGAGCTCTGGTGTGGACAGTATGAATTCTGCTAGACAGAGCCCCATTAATCATTCATGCAGTTTGGGAAACTATGGGAGGTATTTGTTAGAACTGAGCAGATTAAAAGGAAACATGTTTGAACCTGTGATCCTCTGAACAAGCAGCAAGTGATAAACTCTGTAAAGTCAAGGAAAATAAAAAGGCTTCTAAACAAGTTTAATAGCTAACAAAAACTGGGAAATCTAGCTTAATATGTGAGTTGATAAGGGATTCTCAGATCTCTGAAGAATGTGGTCTGTGACTTGCTTTGTTCTAGTCTTTGCTAACACATTTGACCTGCATTTCTTTTCTGGGTTTTAAATGAGCTTTTGGACATGTGTTTTGTAGGTAATTTGTTTTTGAGGAACTGTGGGGTGTCAGGTCTGTTTATTCTGTAGATTTTATTTGTATCTCGTTGTAGATTTAACACCCTGGAGGCTTAGGTGGGATAGTGCCAGATACATATTATTAGAGCTGAACCAAATTACAGATAACAGAATGTGGATTGGATTGGATTTTTAGATTCCAATAAACGTTTGTAAATTCAGGGGTGGAAGTATTGTTTATTTAACTTTTATCAGTGTGTCAGCTACACAGCTAAAGATATACAGAGGGATTACAGCCAGACCTTAGGCTGGGGAAATTCAGATGAGGACAATAGGCATTATTAAAAGTGTCATGAGACTTTATTCAAAAATGGTTCCCTTCTAATCATTGCTATAAATCCAAAGAGGGACTCAAGTATTTTTCCTGTGGTGGGTGTTTGTTTTAAAGTGGCAGTCCATTTGGTTAATTACAAAATCAGGCCTCAGCCCTGCGACTGTCTCCTTCCAAGTCACTGGGGTTCCTCGGAGGCACAAGGGACATTGGCACAGAGGCTGACAGCCATGAGTTCTGGAAGCCTATTCAAACAAAGAAGGGTTGCAGAATCAGGCCTTTAGTAGCTCTTGCATTGTAATACTTTATTTAGGATGTTTAGATACTAAATAGAGTTTTTCAAGCCAGCATGGTCAGACTTATCAGTGCATTTATCCCAGGCCTGCTATTGCCTCACTGCTAAGCAGTCTAGGTGCAGATTTAGTTGAATTTTGATTTCTGACAACAGTATGTTCTGCCCGATCAAAGCCCTGCTCTGTATCTTGCTTCTTTCTTTGAACGTTTACTGCATAGTTTCATATGCTACAAGGTGCTTCACTGCTTATGCTAATCCCCACCCTAGTTTTGCATCAGATATATTGCAAAGTAAACACAGGTTAAGCAACAAGAAAAGGGAGTAGGTTTTGCGTGTGACTGACTCAGAGATTCCTGAATTTAGTGCCTAATGCCATGCCCTCCCTCAGATAGGGCTACACTAGCTTTACAGCCACAGCTACCATACGTGATGCAACCACTGAAATTACAATACGCTATGAATTGTGAGTAGCCTCTGTCAAGTCACGTAACTGATTCTCTGGTACAGTACAGTCTTTTTAGGAGAGCGTTAGTTCAAACGCAGGATACTCTTAAAACAAGGCAGTGTCACATTTGCAAATGTCTCCAGAAAACACTATATATCCGAAGGTGCCCAAAGTACAATCCAAGGGCTAACTGTTTCCCATGGAGTCTTAAAATATAGCTCATGCATTTACTTGGAGAAGAAGGTCAGGGGAGAATGCTGCTCAACTATGACAGGAGGGATAGCTCAGTGGTTTGAGCATTGGCCTACTAAAGCCAGGCTTGTGAGTTCAATCCTTGAGGGGGCCACTTAGGGATCTGGGGCAAAATCAGTACTTGGTCCTGCTAGTGAAGGCAGGGGGCTGGACTCAATGACCTTTCAGGGTCCCTTCCAGTTCTATGAGATAGGTATATCTCCATACATTTAACTACAACTTTTATTGCTGGTGGTCTTTTAACAGGCAAATCCTATTTATCTGTCAAGGAAAATACAAGTACAAGCATTTCCCCTCCCCTCCTTTTTCATCAAAAGCATTCAGGCTCCTTTCTTAAAGATGCTTCAAAGCCTGCAAATTCTTAATAACCTTGGGGCAAAGTTTTGTGGTCTGTAATCCAGCCTCTTATTGGCTGCAGTTGGTGTCTGGCTCAATTTAAAGATCACGTGATTTTGGAGCCCCTTGACCATTCAGTCTCTCTACTAAATTACCGTATATACTCGTTCATAAGCGAATATTTTTGGTAAAAAAGTGATGCATCAAAAAGCAGGGGTGGGCTTATAAACGGGTCTACACCAAAATCTAATGATTTTAAACTCTATGGAATCATTGAATTGTATATCTAATACAGGGATCGGCAACCTTTGGCACACAGCCCGCCAGGGTAAGGTGTGCCACTTCCCGCAGTTCCCATTGGCTGGGAATGGCAAACCGCGGCCACAGGGAGCTGAGGGGCTCCATGCCTGCAGACGCTCCAAGTAAACAAAACATCCCGACCCGCCAGCGGCTTACTCTGACGAGCCGGGAGCCAAAGTTTTCCAACCCCTGAAATATAGGGTCGGCTTATGAAAGGATCATACAGTTTTTGCTATTTTTACCTATCCATTTTGGGGGAGGGGTCGGCTCATAAACGAATGGGCTAATGAACGAGTGTATACGGTAATTGAACTGTTTGAATCAAAAGCTCTGTGAAGCTGCATTAGATTTGAGTGAGAGTCACAACTAGAACCTTTTGTAAAACTCAGTAAAAGGCTCCAATGTCATGCTCTTGGGCCTGAACACTGGCCTGTATGGGAAGTTCTGCTCTTTAAGGACCTCAAATGTGCGTGCGTTCCCTCCAATGGTCCTTGTTGCAGCTTGGAATAACACTGGAAATAAACAGTCATTTAGCATGTGCGCTCTAGCCTGTGTACTGTCGCTGGGTGATATGGTGTGGTGGGTGGTGACACTGCCACTCTTGAAGGCTGTTCTCTGGGAACAACTTTTTCCTCAACCCAGGAGGACTTCATCCAACTCTGAGCGTCAGCCTGAAAAGCGCATGCTGCTGGAGTCCATCCGACTGCTCTCAAGCCATCCCTGCTAACCTTGTGCCTGTGATGGACGCGGTTAGGGAAATGCAATCAGCCAAGCTGACTGAGTTTTTGTCTTATTAATCGGGATGGCGTTTGTGGCTGACTCACTGCACTCAGGCTCGCCCATGCAGGTGTTGAAACGAAGACTGGTGTGGTGTTCTTGCTAGCTCTCCCAGGTGTTCGGTCTCCTTTTCGTCCTTGGCCACCTGGTTGCCACGAGACATTCTCAGAAAGAGAGGAGCAGTGTATGTGTATGGATCCAAAATCCAAGCTCAGCAGAGATGCATTAATAACAGGGTTGGTCAGGAAATGATTTCCCCTCCTCCCCTCCCCCCCCCTCCATTTACTAAATAAAATTGACAAATGTCATCTAAATTTTTGATGAAAATTAACATTTTTTTCCTGTGTTTCTCATTTGTAAACCCAGAACTAGTAGATAGGTTCTTGCAAAACTGACACTCTCCTTGCTTCTGTTCCTCTTGAAAGATAGGTATGTTTTGCTTTCTCCCTTCTGCTTATATATACTTCTGAGGATTGCATTAATGATCCCAATTGCATGCAAATCACACTCCACAACAGAGACCTGAGAACACAAACAATCTGTTTTGCTGGATCACATTTCCTCCAGCTAACCATCTGGGGCATGTCTCCGACTGTTAGCGTCAGGGACCTTTGAGCATGAGATTATCTGTTACTTCACGTCGATTGATTTAGTCATTCAGGAGGAAAACTAGGCTGGGAAGACATGACAGAGATGCAGAGAATGGGTGTCATTCCCACCTGTTGGCAGGGCTACAATGGCAACCAGCAATCCGAACAATCTCAGACATAAACTGGTTGGCAAGACAAATAAATAGGTGTCCCCTTTATAAAAAGAGATTCTTACTTGAATGAAAACCATAATGAGGTTTTCAAGCAAAAAATGCAACTTATCCCCTTCACTTGTTTGCATGGATCACACAATCCTAGTTTTCTAGCCATATCATCCACAGAAATTAAAGGAAACCATCAGATGGTCCTTCCATGCCTCAGATTTGAACCTTGGATTCCTCTGCACGGAGGTGTGAACATCATGCTCCCAAATTAAAAACGCTATTTACATTATACTTTAATGAACTCCCTCCCATGGAAACCAGTCCCAAAATCCCATTGATTTCAATGGGTGTGGGCTCTTTCATGTGGGAATTTATTCCATTTTTATCTCTAAGTGTATCTATTTTACATGCCTTCCCCCCCCCCCTTTTTTTTTTTTTTTTTTTTTTGAAACTCTCCTGCTTTGCTTTAATTCTTTTGGTAGCAAGTTATTCAGTAGCTATCCTTCTGGCAAAGGTGGGGTTTACACCTTTGGTGCCTCTGCCTTTTAATTCATGCTATCAATCAGCCACAGAGAACATCATTAAAGTAAATTATGGGCTCTATTTACTGTCCGAAAGAACAATCGGACGAGAGGTGTAGTCCAATGGTAAAAGCAGAGGACTGGGAATTCATCAGTTCTATTCCATCACCTTCAGAGGTCAGGGCCAAGTCATGTCAACTATCTGCCATGCACATGTGTAAAATGGGGATAATGATATTTAATTCAGAGGGTGTCTTTAGGCTTCATTATTTGTAAGATACTTTGAAGACTCAACGTGTCTTTTGTTAGTGTTATTGATCCTCCTTTGTGTTGCTATAATATGTAGTGGAAGGAAGCACTGGAACAGCTGAGTTCTGAATTTGATGACGAGGAACAAGGATTTCGCAGGGACTAAAGAAGCATTTTGTTGAATAGCTATTTATGTCTGGGCGTGTGTTCTACTTGTTTTCATTATTTGACTAAGCCCCCTACAG